CCCTGAGACATATTTAAGTTCAACCATAGGACTCTACTGGAATTCATTTTCTTTTGAAAAAGTTCCATAACTGGGACTGGTGCGATAGCACAGAGGGTAGGGCGTTTGCATGGCACGCGGCCGATCCAGGTTCGATTCCCAGCATCCCATATGGTTCCCCCGAGCACCATCAAGAGTAATTCCTGAGTGCATGAACCAGGAGTGACCCCTGTGCATCGCTGGGTGTGACCCAAAAAGAAAAAAAAGTCTATAACTTACCCACATTTGTTTGAGACAGAAACGGTTGACCCAGCTAATCCGAAAAGGGATAAAATTAAAACACATCTGAATAGACATTTCCTACATCAGTCAAAATCCCAAAGGAGTGAAAACTGGAGTTTAGGACGATATTGGAATATAGCGACTGATAGTAAATGGCTGTTATTCTAAAATAATTTCAATGTTTTCTACACTAGGAGCTATATTCATGGCCAATATAAAGGGGGTACCAGAAAAAATTGAACAAAGATACCAAGGTGAGTAAGACCTTGGATCTTTCAAGATTTCACATCTAATGGGGAAGACAGAGCAACAGTGGCTATTTGTGAATTGAGCCCTGGTCATGTTCACACCAACTGCCTCATTCACAGAGCACAGCCACCTGATGCAGTGGGAAGTGCTCTCTTTCACTGTTGAGAACACAGAGGACCACAAGGGATAAACATAGCTGTGAAGCTCAGAGCCCTGAGGCAATCACTGGAATCAGGGAACCCTTCCAGGGTAGGTGTGATTTCATCAGCATCTTTAAATGAGAGCTAGGAGTTCACTTGTTGGCAAGGAGGGGGATAGGCATTCTTGTCAGAATTAAAAGATCCTGCAAAGTCACGGGGGCATGAGAAGGCATGTGCCCTCTAGGACAGAGCTCACACCAGTGTGAATTGGCCACGCTGAGAACAGGACTGGGGTCCACTGCTTCCAAGGAGCTCAAGCCCATTCCTCCACTCTGGCAATGGATCAAACCATGCTCTGGACCAGTCCTTTTCACACTAATGAAAAGGAGAGTTTCTGGGACCTAGGAAAATGGCTCATGGTAGGGCAACTGCCTTCCACGCATGCGACCAAAAATTGATCCTTAGCATAGCACAGCCCCACAAGCCAAACACAATCCCAGCAGTGGCACTGATTTATGATGCCTGGAGTCCCAACAAAGTCTGTCACCTTCTAGACCTAGTGTTCAAGTGACAGTCACCTCAACGAGTGAAGAGAAGGGAGGAGGGAAAAGTGTTTCAGATGGGTTGTGGTGAATCAAAGGTAGCTGTTATGTATGAATACTTGGAATAGAAACATGAGATCTTAATATAGGAAAAAGGTGGGGCTAGAGTGATACTGCCATGGATACGGCTCTTCCCCTAAGCCAGGTTAGATTCCCTGGCATCCCATATGGTCCCCCTGAGGCTGCCAGAATTGATCGCTGAGCACAGAGCCAGGAGTCAACCCTGAACACGAATGGATATGCCCCAAACAAAACAACAATGAGAGAGAGAGAAAGAGAGAGAGAGAGACAGAGAGACAAAGAGACACAGAGAGAGAGAGAGAGAGAGAGAGAGAGAGAGAGAGAGAGGATTTTGTTTTAATGCATTTGAAAGACATGGTCTTGATTAGACTTCCTCAGAAAAAGTTTTCAGCCATTTGTTGAGAAACTCAAAGCAATAAAGTTTTAACCAGGCCACCTCCTCTCCAGGGAAAAGCAGTCAGGAGCAGAGTTGCTGATGCAACTTGGGGGCTCTCTGGACTCCAGCTGGACTGAGCACCGTCACGGCAGAAGGGCCTAGTGCTGTGCCAAGGCAAAAGTGGCTCACAGGGTCCCGCTGGCGGGGTGGGGGGTAGGAGGTAAAGACGTAGGACTCTCCTTGGGGCTTTTGTTTCCCCTTGCTCCCTTTGCAGCTGAGAAAGACTTCCAACAGCTCCCCTTCTTGCCTTTTGTATAAGGAGGCCCGTTTTCAGCGATGTATCTATCCTGCCACCTAGCCTTCAACTTGGTCACTACAGCCAAGCTGCCCTAAAAAAAACACTCTTCCACCTAGAGTTCAGCCTTGCTGCACTTTCTTTTTGAAAGGAGGACCTGAGCCACAAGGTACTGTGTTTCTTGAAAGTCAGAGTATCTTCATTTTGACCCTGGACCAGCATTGGTATGCCCCAAGTGTACCGGTCTCTGGGGGAAATGACCAAGGTCCAGCCCATCCTATCTCCTAGAGGGAATCATTACTCACCATGTGGTTTGGGCAAGTCAAGTCAGCCTGAGAGTAGTTAGAGTCACGGAGAGGAGTGAACAGAGTCAGAAATCTTCACTAACACGTTTTCTGTCTCACCGGAAACTTCCATGACCCTGTGAAGAGTCAAGCTTCCTGAGGGCAGGGCCACCCCCAGGCCACCCCCAACCTCCAAAGCCACTTAGAAGCTCACAGAAAAAATGATCCTCAAGAACCCAAGATCTGTCAAAACCAGTTGCCCCCTCTGCAAAACTGCTCGTGTGACATCAACAGTCTTGCACTCATTGCTGTTTCTTGAAACTTGGTCTGGAGATGCGGTGACACGGGGGTTCTATCTCTGGTAGATAGAGAGGGAGACCTCTGGGGACAGACAGAGGTACCAGAGGATGATAATGAACTTGTTTCTCTACCGAAGATGTGGTTGAACGGCATCTGGGTACCAGGATCAGGGAGCTAGTGGCAGCCAGAGTGAGTGGGCAGCGAGAGAGGGGAGGGAAGTGGCCTCTGATACTGGCATCTGGCATGGGGATTTAGCTGCCCCCAAGTAAACCCATTAACACCAACTAGTTTCCTTAGATGCAATTTGCTAAGAGTGATTGTGAACAGATCTAGACCTTCAGAGCAGAAGGGAGCGGAAAGGGGGCTCCAGAAGCGCTCTGAGCCTCCCCAACACCCAACATCCATCCTCCAACACAGTGAGCCACCTTACTGCCATGCTTTAATTATAGACTCCAAAGCAAAAGGGAGGAGTGCAGAGAAGGGGTGGTGGCCCACGTCTTTGGGCAAAAACACTGTAGACAATCCAAGACCTGGGAATTCTTTCTCCCCAGAAGTCAAGTTCACCCAGAGAGCAGCCACCCTCCACCCCTCCTCACCTGAGCCTGGTTCCATGCCCAGCTAAAGGTTGGCTGTTAGAGTCAAGGACTCAATTGGGCCGCTCTCCCCAGCCTCTCTGCTGTTTTGCCACTTCCTCCTCCCTGTTTCTTCCCTCTTCCCTTCACCTGCCTTCCAGCAGTTTCTAGACAAAAACATGTGTAAGTGAAGACCATCTCTCTCAGGCTAGAGGGTGGTTGGAACTTGGCAGACAGCCTTCTGTTTTTTTAAAAGAAGCCACACAATTTAATCCCCCCCCCCATCTTAAACACTATACAGGGGGCTCTGGGCAACCAAATTTCTATGCATGAATTCCCCCCCTCCTCCTGCCTTGCCAAGTCCTTAGACAGAAGAAGAAGAAGACCAAGGGGAATTGTCAGGTTGTTTTGTTTTTATTTTTATTTTTTATTCATTGCACAGTTTTGCCTCCTTCTCCCAAACAACACCTAAAAAAACTCTATTGCTAAAGCAATAGAAAGAAAAACAGCACTTTCAACTCTACCCTGGTTTTAAAATGTGCCTTCCGGCACAGAGATAAGTGAGGAGAGAGATGGGGATCACAGATTGCTAACAGCCCCACGATGCTGCAAAACCAGCCCGAGAAATATTTCCTTCCAAGCTGCTCTGCAGAAAGAATTCTTATCATAGATAAGGGTGCAGTCTAGTGGCAAGCTTTGTGAAATGCAGCCCCTTCTCCACAGGCAAACAAGAGCACTTCCAAAGGGACAGAGGCAAGCGGCAAAAGGAGAAACAATCCCACCACCCCCAAGTGTTCCCGAACGAGGCACAATGGTCAGAGCTTTTTCTCCCTGGAGGTGAGGTCCACAGCGTCTGTTTCAGAACAAAACTAAAATCACAGCTGCCTTCTTTCCAGACTTCAGCATCTCCATTTACTGATGAGAAAAAGGACCCTGTCCTTTACCGGAGGAATTGTCTGAGGTTTCAAACAGGGTAACAATGTCTGGGGAGGAGAGCTCTTCAAAGCAAGCCCCATAGGTCCTTGCCAACCCACATTGCCCAGGGTGTCTGTCTGTGCCCATTAACTGTACAACAAGGTAGACCTCTGCTCTGACACTCTTTCCCTCCCGGGAGGTGGCCGTGAGCCACAGAGAAGTCCCTTGAAAAGAACAAGGCGTTAAAGGAACTTTCCAATCTGCCTCAAACTCCAAAGTAGGGTACAGGAGTTACCACATAAGCTTTTCACACTTAGCATTTTCTCCAAAGGGCCAGGCTTGGTAACTCACTGGTTCCTATAAAGCTGTTTTATAAATGTCCTTTCCTAAACACACACACACACACACACACACACACACACACACACATCTTTCATGGTGCCAACTGACCATATGACCAAAGATAGTAACTCCACCAACAAAAGAAACAAGATTAAATACACCCCACCCAGGCTTTTTTTTTGGGGGGGGGGGATCAGTGTTTTTTTTTCTTTTCTTTAATTAAACGCATCTCCCATCACTGACCATCCTACACACACACACACATACACACACTCCTTACACAGTAACTTAGACACCAGCAGACACCCCTTTTCCAAAACTTGGGAAGAAATTTCTTGAGCCCTGTATTTATCCAGTGGGCTAACAAGAAACTTGCTTCTCTCTTCAGCCCAGCTAGTTCAGGGGAGACAGTTGCATTGTGTCCACCGGGCTCCGGAGCTCCCCACCCCAGCCCCAGCCCTGTCCCCCATGCCCCTTTCTTACATTCCGGGGGGAGGAGGGCATTGTTCAGGGAGCGAATGAGAGCCCCCCCTCCCACCCCCGCTTGTCTCGAAGGCCTCTCCCCACCCCCACCCCGTGTGAGTTTGTACTGCAAAGCTCCTTGGCATCTTTGCCTGGGTTGGGTGTTGGGAGCTCAAGTTGCAGCTGCAAACTGGCTGGTAGCCAGGGGCCGTCTATTTAAAAGCGCCCGCTCGGCCGGAGCCCCGTAGTCTCTTTGGAAACTTCTGCCGTGGGGGGAAAAGAGCTAAGAAGGAGCTGCAAAGCGGTTGGGGGTTTTCCTTTTTCTTTTTCTTTTCTTTCTCCTTTAAATTACCCCCTCCGCCGATCGCACCCTTCTCCCGGCTTCACGCAAGAACCTGCGTGCGAGTTTCCAAGAGGTGGTGGGAGAGTGAGCGAAAGGAGGTTGTTAGGGTTGGGGTTGGGTTCGGGGATTTTTTTTTTTCTTCTTCTTCTTCTTGATTTCAACGTTTTCCCCCATCCTCTCGGCAGCAGCCGCCACCTCTTACCTGTTCCTCGGCAGCGCTTCTGCCGCGCCGCTGGCGGCTGAGGCTTTGGAAGGTGTCCTTTAGATTTTTTCAACCAATTTTTCGACTCCAACCCCATTTTTCTCCACGCCCTCCCCCACACCTCACCCCGCACTCTTCTCCTCCACCGCCTTTGAGCTCATTATTCCCGTAGTGGCTTGGGGCGAACAATTTTTGGGCTCCCCCCGCCTCCCCATCACCACCACCACCACCACCACCACTGCCATTCTGCCGAGGGCGGGCGCCAAGGTCTGTCTCTCGGGTCTCGCCTCCCTCTCCCTGCACCTGGCGCGGCTCTTTTTCACGCAACCTGTTGCAACTGTTTAATCCTTGCAGCGGGGACTTGCTCGCGCGCACCCCCACCCCACCCCGCCCTCCATCTCTGCCTGCGTTTTTGCAATTGTCTGGAGGAGGGCCACCTGCTCTACCTGTCAGACGTTCCTTTTTCCCTTTTTTTCTTTTTTTTTTCAATCCCCCACCACCACCTCCGGGCTCCCCTTTCTCCCCCGGCGCTCTCGCTCTCCTGTCCCGCCCCACGATCCAAGGGAGAGACCCAGCGAAGATGGTGCTCACCGCGGTCCTCCTGCTGCTGGCCGCCTGTGCGGGGCCGGCTCAGAGCCTCGGCTCTTTTGTGCACTGCGAGCCCTGCGACGAGAAAGCCCTCTCCATGTGCCCCCCCAGCCCCCTGGGCTGCGAGCTGGTCAAGGAGCCCGGCTGCGGCTGCTGCATGACCTGCGCCCTGGCCGAGGGGCAGTCGTGCGGCGTCTACACCGAGCGCTGCGCCCAGGGGCTGCGCTGCCTTCCCCGGCAGGACGAGGAGAAGCCGCTGCACGCCCTGCTGCACGGCCGCGGGGTTTGCCTCAACGAAAAGAGCTACCGTGAGCAGACCAAGATCGGTGAGCGCTCCCGGGGGGGGAAGGGGGTGCGGGTCAGTGACCCCGCGCGCACGGGCGGAGAGGGGACGCGGGACCCGCGCGCCTAGCCCGGCAAGTGGTTTAACTTAGCGCCGGGGTGTCGCCCGCCAGTAGAGGGGTGGGGGGTGGAGGATCCCCGAAATCTTGGAATTAGAGCCCAGACTGAGTGGGCTCTCCTGAGCCACTTACTCCCCAGCCCGGGTCCGGCCGGAATTTGGTTTCTTCTCGCCCCTCCCCGCCCTTTCTCCCCCTCCCCCTTTCTTCCCCCCCCTTCCCGCACCCCCCGCTAGCCCCACTACCCTACCTACCCCTCCCCACCGCTCTGGTCTGTCAGCGGACTCAAGATCCAAGTCCCCAGGTACTCCATCTCCAGTTTGGAAAGGGGTGCATGTTATATGATCAATTTCCAATACGCTTTCTCTGAACTTGTGGGGAGGGGGGAGGGAGCGGGGGGGTGGTGTAAAAAGGAAAAAAAAAACTCTTGTGAAAATAGTGAGCTGTAACCGGGGATCTGGAGAAGAGGTTTTACCAGTTTTCAGGGGTTAATTCCACTTCTGCCCCTCCCAGCACCCCTCCCAGTCGCTCCTGGCGATTCCCGACCCCCGCGCGCAAGTGCGCGCGCTCACGCACACATGCACACAAGCGCGCGCGCACAGACGCTACAAAGCCAACGCTGGGGCGGAGGGGGAGGAGGGGGAGGGGGAGGGGACGGTGAGGAGAGGGGAGGGGGGAGGGGGAGGGGGAGGAGGCGGTTGATACCCTCTCGGACTTGCTTATCCACTGCTTTTGTGGTAGAGGTAAAACCTATCCAAATGCACACCACCACTTTTTTTCCCCTCCCTGAAAATGCAAGATTACTTTGGGACGCGCGTTCTGGCGATTGCGGGATTGGGAGCGGGGACGGCGGGGTGGGTGGGGAGGGTTGGGGGTGAAGAGATTTGGAAGAGTTTGCTGTTCTTCCGTTTGGAGCTGTCCCTGAATCTAATTGCTGCTCCTTCCCAATTCATATTTTTTTTATTATTACTTTTTTTTTTTTACCTAGGCAAAGGTGGGAGTGAAGGGGGAGGGGAAATTCAGACATCACAACTTCTCAGCCAGGGCTAAACCTCTCTTCCCCTCCCCTCCCCAACCAGATCACCAATGGGTGTGGTGAAAAGAGGGGGCTCTAGAAACACCGAACGCCCAATGCAGGGGGCGGAGACGGGAAAGCCTGCGCCGCGGCTGGCCCCGCCCCCAGGTCGCCCCGCCCCCGAGATGCCCCGCCCCCAGCTTTGGGTGCGGAGAGGTTTAAAAGGGTTCCCCAGCTCTCCTTCGGGTTCTTTCTCCCACCGCCCCTCCCTCCGTTGGTCTGGGCTCCTTTTTGGAGTTACCAGCCTTACTTTTTTTTTTTTTCCCCAAATCTGTTTTTTGGTGAACTATGCACGAAAGTGTGAGGAGGGGTTCAGACCGCTAAACGGTGCTGACTCTGCCTCTTCCCCAGGACAAAGGCTTTTCTCTCCCTCACCCCCTTCCCTTAAGAGCAATCCACTCAGAATTTTTTTTTTAAACGACACATCATCGTGAAGGAGATTATCATGTCAGAAGGCGTGTTGAGAAGCGGCCGGGGAGGTGACCCGAGCTCAGATTTGGGGCCCGCGCACAGCACGTTTTACCTGTGGCCGGCGGCGGCCCCTGTAGCTTTGCGTTACTCCTAACAACAAAGGTGTGACGGAGGGAATGGGGCGGAGAGAAACGTGCAGGCCCCAAGGCCCCAGAGGCAGGGCTGTAGAGATACTTTCATTAAAAGGCACTTTCCGAAAGCAGTCCAGCCCGCCTTTTCCTTTGAAGATATGGATTTGGAAACGCTTAGCACCGGAATATATATATATATATATGCATTATATATATGTTCTACATAATGCATACTTATATATAATATATGAATCAGTTTCCTGACTTGGAAGCGAGCACTCTGGGCAACAATCTGGTCACAACGAAAGTATGCAAGGTAATCACTCAGCCGCCTTCTGGCCCCACTTTTATTTGCCCAACTGTGCGGTTGGAATGATGTGGTCAGTGCGGCGGGTGCGCGCTCAGGACGCGCGCGCGTGCGCACAAGTGACAAAAAAAAAAACCTACCGCCTCCAACTTTCCAGATTAACCCACTATACACACACACACACACACACACACACACACACACACCACTTCGACTTTAGTTGCCCTAAGATCTCCTTGCCCAGCTCCACCCCCGACGCGGGAGACTCCGCCCGCCTTCCGCAGGTGCCCGAGCAGCTGCCTTTGCGGCTTGGGGGGGTGGGTGGGGTCATCGACCCGTGCGTGGACAGACGCCTTCCTCCTGGACAGATAGGATGGGCGTTGGGGCTCTTGGCCCTTCAGCTCAAAAACCGTTGAGTGGATCCCCCCCAACGTTGGGGATGGCACAGAGAACGAGAGAACATTATTACGGAGAAAAAAAAATACTGGGGAGCGGGTCGACTCCTTTTCTGAGAAATTCCTGCTCCCTGCTCTCCAACACACACACACACACACACACACACACACACACACACACACACACACACCTTACCCCACCATCAAAACCATCCTTGCGAACTTGGATTCTGCCTTCCGGCCCTTGCATGTAGACATACAGATGTAGAGTGTACATATTTATACTTATGTATCAAACATGCAACATGCATATAGAGACAGACAGAGTCGCATTTTTTTTAGGCAATTTAAAAAAAAGCGCATTAGTGGAATCAGAAATGGGGAGCGGGGAGAGCGGGTGGCAGGCAGCCAACGCTTGGCGGAGGAAGAGCCAAGGGCGGGCGGAGTAGGGTGTTTTGCTCCGTATGTTGCCGCGCAACGCTAGCGGGAGAGAACCGGGCGCTGGGAGCGCCGGGCACTGCATTTTGGCCATTTGAGGGAGCAATGATAGATAGATATAGAAACTGTGTGTGTGTGTGTGTGTGTGTGTGTGTGTGTGTGTGTGTGTGTGTGTGTGTGTCCAGGAAGACGGGAAGCAGCAGCGGTTATTCACTGGGCCCAGCTCAATGAACATCGGTGAGCGGGATGCAGTGAAGAAGGATGGGCTTTAGCTTTAGCCATTGTCTGGGGGGAAAAGGAGCCTCTGCGGTTTTTGGCGCTGGCGCCTCCAGGCTTCCTTGCGGGTCTTGGAGATCTCACCCTCATCCCCCCCCCACCCCCGCGCGCGCCCCCATCCCTCCCCCGCCCCTCCCCCACAGCTTCTGTTGGGGCTAGAGGAAGAAGTGGATCTTGCTTTCAATTCTGAATTCTGTCATTGAGAAACCAGAGAGAAAGGACAGGAAACATTACAGGAGAGGGGGGCGGATTTAAAATGATTCAGCCTTGCTTTTTTTTTTCCTTTTGAAGAGCTTGGCTCCATCATCCTGGCTTCCATGCCAAGGAAGGTCCAAATGCCATGTGGAAGTCCAGTCCCAGAGCTGGGTTAGTGGCCTAATTAAGGGTCTGGGTTCAACAAAATCATGGAAAACTGAAGGGGCCAGACCTGCTTTCCCTTAGCGAACCAAAAGGGAGCTGGAAAATCACTTTTAAGTCCTTTTCCTTCTTATCACCCTCCCCCCCCCACCCCCCCACCCCTATTCCTGCTCTGCCCACCCCTAGTTCATCCCCCAGCATCCTAGGAGGCCCCTGAGGGCTAGTTTTCTGCCAGTGGCACATCAGTCCTGCTGGAGCTGGATTTGAGCAGACAGGTGGGCCAGCAGCTGCAGAGGGCGGACCCAGCTAACCCCAGGAGCCAGAGGTCACCCAGAGGGTTACTGCAAAGGGCAAGGGTATGGCGGAGGGGGAGGGGGCCCTGGCTAGCAGGAAAGGAAGGAGATATTGGTTTCAAGTTTTTGCTTGGGAGTTAAGGGAGGATGCCTTTGATACTGTGTGACAAATAAAATCTGGAAATTTTATATATATATATGTATATCTGACATATATGAGTGACAGCCTTCACACAGGAGACTCCTCTCACAACGATCCATCCTAGGGGAGGGGTGACCATTTCATTTTGGTTTGGGGTCCACAGTTGGCAATTCTCAGGGCTGACTCCTGGCTCTGTGTTCCGGCATTACTCCTGGCAGTGTTCCAGGGACCATATGGGTTGCTGGGGATCGAACCCAAGTCAACCGCATGCAAGGCAAGAGCCTTACTATACTATGTCTCCAGCCCCAGTTTTGTTTTTTGTTTGTTGAGCAAACTTTTTTTTTTTAATGTTTGCTCCTGGAATCCAAACAATTGCATTTCCCAAAGACCTGGCTCAGTTTCCCAAAGCTGCCTTATAGATTTGTATACACTTGGTGATAAATGAGCAAGTCAGTTCTAGGCTTCGATGCCTCTAGTTCCCTTAGCTAATGAGTCCCCTTCCACCACTACTTGTGTTTCCAGTTCCAACACTTTATCATTTCTGTTTTGATCTCCTTACCCTTTTTTAAAAAAAAAAAAACTTTTTTTTAAATTGAATCGCTATGAGATAGATCCTTACAAAGCTGTTCATGATTGGATATCAGTCATGCAGTATTCCAACACCCAGTCTCTGCTTTGACACCTGCCACACCTACCCTTGGAGGATGGTGCTCCCGTCACCTCTCCATCTTTATGGCAGACACCTTGGGCCCTTGGGCCTTTGTGCAGGATGGAGGAGTGGGAATTAGAGGGAAGAATTCCGAACTGGTGGGGTTGCAGGGGAAGGGAGGCAGTTCCCAGGAGGGTTTGTGCAAAACCCTTTGGGCCTGGAGTTGGCAGTTGGACTCCAAGGAGACCAGCGGTGCCCTTTCACAACACCTTAGAGCACATGTTGCCCGCACTCAGGACAGAGGTGTCCCACACCCACCTGGGTCAGCTTTGCTGTGGGTCTGAAGGCTCCTGCCTTGGGACTGGAGGGTGGGGGGATGGAAAGGCCACTCAGCCAGGTGAGCCTGTTTGCCTCCACCCATCACTATGAGAATCTGGACCCTGGCTCGGAGGCTGCTCCTCCTCCTTTCCCTGAGCCCTTCCTTCCGAGGATGCGTGTTGGGTTCTCTGTCCGCTTGCAAAATCCTTTCTCTCTCCACCCTCAACTCAGAAAGAACCTGGAACATGCAGGTCTGTTACTCAGCACAGTTGGAAAGGGGGAGTCCTCAGGATAGGGATGGGGAGGCCTGGGAGCGCAGGGCTCCCCCACCCCACCCCCTTTCTCTATATGCAAAGACACGCATGTACACAGCAGAATTGAGTCATTGGGTGTCTGCAGCTGGGGGACAGTCAGAGGCAGGGATGCTGAGACATGTCCCAGGGTTTCTGCAACCGGCTTATTCCCCCCCTTCCCTCCCCCAACCCCTACGCCTACCCCCAGCCTCTGTCTGCAGCTGCGGGTCTTCCCCCTTTCCTTCTCTGTCCACTTGGACTTTCTGTGATACTGGGCACGGTCTCTCTCTGCCTGACCATCCAGTAGCCTCCAGCCATGTGTGCTGAGATCAAAGAGAAGACCCACCCATCTAGCCCCCCTCCCCCTCTCTCCTTGCTGTGTTCCCCTGAGGCTGTTCTATCCCCTTGCACCTTCTGTGGCAGTTATTAGAGTCAGGGGGCATGGTGGAATGACCTTTGGATGCACCCCCAGAGCTGCTTCTGGGCCTCCACACATCTTTATTTACAGAAATGCTCCCAAACTCAACCTCTTCTTCGTGTCTTGAGCAGATCCAGGCATCTCTCAGTTTGAAAGATTATTTCTACAGACTACCATGAGCAGAGAGACAGAGATGAATGGGGAAGATAAAATGGGGAATGCCCTTAAGAAGCCCAGCTGTTTAAACTCCACAGGAGGTAGAGAGTTGGGGTGTGGGGGGTCATTGCAAGGAGATAGGACAGCCAGAAACCAACTCAGGTTTGATCCCTGGTACCTCATTTGGTCCTTGGAGCCTGCCAGGAATAGATCTTTCAGCTCAAAGCCAGGAGAAAGTCCTGGGCAGAGCTAGGGGAGTTGGGGGGGGGGGGGGGTGATCCAAAGACACACACACACACACACACACACACACACACGATGTGCTGTGGCCAATGGGAGTCCGGTTAAACATTCCCCACTTGCCATCCTTACCAAATGAAACGAGGTGTTGTATGTGTTTGTTTTCCAGGGATCATTCTCCAGTGACTTATTTATTTATTTATTTATTTATTTATTCAACAGAGTATTATGGGATGGAGATGTTTGTTTTTTTTGTTTTGTTTTTTAATTGAATCACAGTAGATACACAGAAAGTTGTTCATGTTTGGGTTTTAGTCATATAATGTTCCAACACCCATCCCTTCACCAGTGCACATTTCCCCCCACCAGTGTCCCCAGTTTCCCTCCCACCCCCCACCCCATGGCAGGCTCCAGTGGTTGATTTAAACTCAACCGCCCTACAGCCCACCTCACCTCCTTTTACCCTTTCGCCTCCCAGCCTGAGGGGTTTCTCCAGTTCTCTTGTCCCTTTCCCTGACCCTGCATGCCGCAGGCAATGAGGAGAGGATTGGGGCGGTTCTCAGAAAGACAGGAGCCCGTGAGCACACAAAATTCCAGTTTTCAACTGGCTTCCAGTCCCTAGAGAGTAGCCCCCTGGGCACGCCGTGTGTCCTGCGCCACCTACTGGCCACTTGGAGGTATTAATCCTCTGTCTATTGGTTTTCTTCAGTGCTCTTCTGCAGAAAATTCTTCTTCTCTCCCACCTGACCCCTCTGCAGCCTCGGCCGATTGGCTAATGATGAAATAGCTCAGGAGTTTTCCTTTCTGTTGTGTCCAAAACCGAAACCCTTCCAAAATGAAAGTCTATTTAAGACTTGGCCCCAAAGCTGCTGGCTTGGGCATCCCAGCGCCAGGCTTTCTCGGGGGCCCTTTCATCTGAAGCCCTGCTCTGGCTCCCCTCCAAGTTTCCATGGTCTCCCTGGAGCCTGCAGGTGACCACAAGGCCCTGGTGAGGATCTTTGATACTCCGCTCTTCGGCTGCCAAAGTTGCAGCCCCACGTGGATGAGTGGTACCGAGAGAGGGATATCCAGCAGTTCAGCCTGCCCTTGGAGTAGCCAAAAAGGCAGTGAACCCAGAGGGTGGACCCTCAGGCCTTCAGGAACCCTTTGGGGAGGGGCGAGTCCTTAAAAAAAGATACAGAAATCCACCTTTGGCGCTTCACTTTTATACTTGTCTGATCTCAGGCACTACTCTAACACTTTTTTTTGTTTGTTTGTTTTTGTTTTGGGGCAGCAGATCCCTCACTCTGTGCTCAAGGGTCACTCCTGGCAGGGCTCAGAGTCCTATATAAAGTGACCTTGGGCAGCAGCAGCAGCAGCGAGTGCAAAGCAAGCACCTTCTCTGATGTACTATCTCTCTGCCCCTGACTCGAACACTCAGAGAAAGGACTCGCGGGGCCAGAGTTAATCTAGCCCCAAGCCTACCCAAGCATTCTTAAGAGCCTCACCCCTTCCAGGAAAGGCAATTCAAGGTTAAGGGCAGCCCAGAGCACTTGTTAGGAAAAAGTCATGACCGGGGTAGGGTCTTGAGAGGCACTGGGTGGAGAAGGAGGGCTGTTATGCCCGCAGGCCTCCATGACCCCATCCGAGGAACTGTGGTATCAATTGGAGGGTATCCCCTTCTGATCTTGGGCTCACACACACAAACACACACACACATTCACACACACACACATGCCAGAGACAAGATTAAAGCCCTGTGCATCCTGACTGGGTTAGGCTAGCTCTCTAGACGCCCCCATAATACACACAGGCGGGAGGTGGGGGTGGGAGTGAGGGCCAGAGGGATAGGATACCGGGAAGGGTGCTTGCCTCACACACAGATAACCTGGGTTCCATCTCCAGCATCCCATATGGCCCTGGGCACAGCCAGCCCTGAGTTCCATGAAGTATGACCACACACACAAAAGGACCACCAGGAATCTCCCTGAGCTAAGAGCTCAAAAACCTTCCAGCATGGCCACTTTCCTTTTTTTCTGCAATTTGAAAAGAAAAAGAGGGACCCCCACCTTTGTGCCTATACTCCCAGGGGACACCTGGCCGTACCTTCCCCCTGGGGCCTCGGGGTTGGATGCACCTCCCTCAGCACTCTGAGTCAGCCAGGGTGTCTGTGAGATGAGACTCTTAGGGGGGCTGATTTGGGGGAGCTGGGACCATACTGGAGTGTTCAGGGATCACTCCTCGTGGTGCTCAGAGGACTCTCAGTGCTAGGGATTGGAACCGGGGTCAGCCAGTTAGAATTTAATGGAGGGGCCAAAGTGATAGCACAGTGGTTAGGGTGCTCACCTGCACACAGGTTTGATCGCTAGCATCCCAACCGGTCCCCCTAGGAATGCAGTGCAAGACTAAACCCTGAGCACGGCCAGGTGTGGCCCAGAAACAAACAAACAGATAAATGGAGCAGGAGGGGTGTGGCTGGACAGTGGAGAAGCTGCCCTGTGCGTTGGAATACCTGGGTTCAATCTCTGGCACCGGCAAAAAAAAAAAAAAAAAAAAAAAGAGGATGAGGGATTGAATGGAAGTCACTGCACTGGAGAAGGGACGCGAAGGTGGGATTAGTGGATGGGCAGATGAGCAGAATCCTACTTCCTTAAAGGTCATAAGTCAGCTAAGAATAGACTGTCGCCAAGTGGCTCCTATATTTAACTCTGCGGTACCGGCCGGCTCTCCTGGCCCCGGACTGGGTTCCTTGCCAGCTTCCTGAGCCTCGGAGTGCAGTGCCAGCCCTGAGCCAGCACCCTGCGAAGGTCTGGGCTTTCTGCATCCCTGCCCACAGTCAGCCCTCTCTAGCCCTTCCTCCTGACCGCTACCTCTCTGCCAGCCCTGGTCCCCGGGACCTCCTGTCCCCTACTCCCAGTCTAAAAAAAAAGTCTCAACTCCCCAAAATTCAGCCCCGTTTCTTTCTGACCCAAGCGCTTGAGTGTGTTCAATGCCTCTGAGCGCCAACAAGCTCTGGGTATGTGCTCTTGAGATGTCAGGGCTTCCTCCCCGAGGACCACTGTCTTCCCAGTGAGCCCCTTCCCACATGCAGAGTCTTCCCAGGAAGCCCCAGAATATCCCCTCCTTCTTCTCAAATATCACCTCCTCCTTTGGGGCCTAGAGTGGTCGTCTAGCAAATAGGACACTTGTCTTGCTTGTGTCCAACCTGGCCAGGCCGGGTTAGATCCTGGGACACTCCCCACCTGGTCCTGAGTATAGAGCCAGGTGTGACCCCATTCCCACCACCCCCTGCCCCCCCAAAACAAAGCAGACACAAAACCATCAAAGATCCCCTCAAAATGCAGCTTGACCAAACCCAGCTCCCCACACCCCCACCTGCGGCTGCTCTGCCCCCCACCCCAAGAACCCCACCTGACTTCCTCCCCAATTTCCGTTGATGCACCTCCCCACTCACCCCTCCTTCTGCCGCCTCTCCCCTCCACCCCTGCAGAGAGAGATTCCCGCGAGCAGGAAGAGCCCACCACCTCGGAGGTGGCCGAGGAGACCTACGCCCCCAAGATTTTCCGCCCCAAGCACAGCCGCATCTCCGAGCTGAAGGCCGAGGCCGTGAAGAAGGACCGCAGGAAGAAGCTGAGCCAGTCCAAGCTGGCCGGGGGCGCCGAGAACACCGCCCACCCCCGTGTCAACGCCGCACCGGAAATCAGACAGGACTCTGAGCAGGTGGGGCTCCCCCCTCCAATTCCCCCCACCACCCCCCCCCCATCCTGCTCTGTTCTCCCCTCACTCCTACCGTGCCCCTCCCAGCTGACACAGTGTCCCCACGGAAGCTCTTTAGACTTCAAGACCCAACCTTGGGGTAGGAGGGGGCAGGGAGACCGTACAAGGCCAGTGCACATTCCTTGCACCTGGCCCACCCAGGTTTGATCGCTCGCACCCTACATGGTCCCCTAAGCACCATCTGGAGTGATCTCTGAGCACAGAGCTAGGAGTCATCCCTGAGCACTGCCAGGTGTGATAGGAAAACAACAAAAGAACTCAAGTTTGAGGCTGGAGTGATAGCACAATGGGGAGCACGTTTGCCTTGCACACGGCCAACCCGGGTTGGATTCCCAGCATCCCATAGGGTCCCCTGAGCACCGCCAGGAGTAATTTCTGAGTGCATGAGCCAGGAGTAACCCCTGTGCATTGCCAGGTGTGACCAAAAAAAAAAAAATGAATTCAGGTTTCTTGGGTGCCCAGCTGCAGGGAACTCATGCACCAGGGTCTCGTCTGAGCCTCTGGACTTCACTGCTTCTGGACGGAGCCAGGAGAGCCGGGCGGGAAGAGAAACCTTCCTTTACACTCTTTCGCACTCAGGGTGCCTAGACGGGAACATCCAGAAAGCTAGTGATTGAAACCAAAGCAATGACTTTCTCCAAGACCCTTCATCCCTGCAACCCCATGGCCTGGCACCCTGTTCTGTCCCTCTGGGGTTGGGGTGGGGGGGTGTGACGTGCTGTGTCAAAACTCTCCTGGCCTCCTGTCCCCATACAGGGCCCCTGCCGCAGACACATGGAGGCGTCCCTCCAGGAGCTCAAAGCCAGCCCACGCATGGTGCCCCGGGCCGTGTACCTGCCCAACTGTGACCGCAAAGGATTCTACAAGAGAAAGCAGGTACGCCCCAGCCGGCACCCACGTGCACCCCCCCCCCCCCACCCCTCAAGGCCAGGAACAGAGCCAGGGCCAGGCAGCTGCTGCCTGGCAGTGCCCAGATTCACAGTCCTTCAGCAGAAGGTTCTCAGTCTCCTCCCCCCTGCAACAGCCAGGCCCTCCCTGCAGATGGGCCTGCCCCAGCCCCTCCACTCAGCTTGGCATTATTACTCCATCTTTACCTGAGTCTGTGGGGAAGCAAACCCTGTGGGGTTTATGTTTTAATTATTTTCCGACAGACGCACAGATCGGTACGTGTATGTGACTTAAACTTGTCTGAGGCTGATTCTACTCTGGGCAGCCGAGCTGGAACCAGGGGTCAGCTGGGAAGTCTGTGTCCACTCCGGGTGGGGGGGTTTGTTTCACTGTTGGATGTGGCTCCTTTTAACTTTAGGGGGTCCTAGTACCACCTGATAGACTGCTTAAAGTGCTGGCTACGCTCCTCCCCCCATTTCTCCCAGAGAGTCAGATAGGCAAGCCTGGTGACACCCTCAGACTCATCCATGTCTATCAAGTTGAGAGATAACCTCAATTCTCCCTCTGGACACCCCTTGTCTAAGTTAGGGGACCTGGGCCAGGCATTCTGGGGCCTCCACCCTGCCATGGTCCAGCTGTGTGCCGCATCCCCATCATTTCGTGGTGCTGCTCCACTTGCTTGTAAAACAGGAAACAGGGCCCAGAGAGATAGCACAGCAGGAAGGGCACTTCTTACAAGCAACTGACCCCAATTCAATCTCCGGCATCCCCCCCACCACAAGATTCTGAGTCCACTAAGAGTGATTCCCTGAGCACCACCAGCCATGGCCCACAAACAAACAAACAAACAACAAACACATAGGAAACAATTGTATCTCTCCTTATTCTGTCATTATTGGAGGCACGTGATTCCTCCTGGAAGGGTATTCTGGCCGGATCCTAACACTGGTGTTAGAATCTAGACCCCCTCACCTCTTGGACCGAGGTTTCTCCCTGTCTCTCATGAGGTGAAGGCACCTAACCAGGCAGGGCCTCGAGGTCCAACCCCCTCACCGCCTGTCACTCTCCCCACCTCCAGTGCAAGCCTTCCCGCGGCCGCAAACGTGGCATCTGCTGGTGCGTGGACAAGTACGGGATGAAGCTGCCCGGCATGGAGTACGTGGACGGGGACTTTCAGTGCCACACCTTCGACAGCAGCAACACCGAGTGATGCGTCCCCCCCCACCTGCCCCCTCTCACTCCTCACCCCACCCCCCACCCCACCCCACCCCCAGCCAGCGCCTCCCTCCACCCCAGGACGACACTCATTTCATCTCATTTAAAGGGAAAAAAAAATACTTATCTATTTGAGGAAACTGAGGACCTCGGAATCTCGAGCAAGCACTTGGAATACGGCAGCAGCGGAGATGGACGAAGCTAAGGAGACACCCCACCCCCTCTTTTAAATGATTTTCTTTTCGAGGCAAGTCGAGTGAACAGAGTAGGGAAGAGGAAGCAGGAAGTAAAGGAGGGAAGAGGCCCAGAGCCAGGCAGATGAGTTAGGGAAAGGATGGGGCAGAGAGAGGCCAGAGCGGGGAGGGCGGGGATCACTGACTCCAGCGAGGACCATGCCGGTGACAGTTGTCGCCCTGTGGTCCAGCCCCGAGTTATGGCCATTAGGGACCCATGTGGTTAGCCTGGACTGGGCACTTGGAGGGAGAAAGGAAAAGGCAAAGGGGAATCAATTCTGTCCTCTTTGTCCCCACAAATGAGGGCTTGAACCCTGACCTTACACACACACACACACACACACACACACACACACACACACACCCTTCCCGGCCATGTGCTCTCATTCCCCTGCAACCCCGCCAGTGAGGCTGAGAGACAGCGGCCGGGTAGGACTTCCTATGCCAAGAGTGGAAGGATGGAGATGTGCAAATTTGCCTGAATCCACTTCTGCCCGGGTAGTTGGTTGGGAGATTCATTCTTCCGGGCTAGCGGGGAAGATGTGCCTTGGCCTTCTCTTTTACATTGTTCCACTTGGAAGGGTGAGAAAAAGAAAAAAAAATAGTCGAGATGGATCAATCCATCTGGCCTCTCTTCCTTCCTCTCGAGAAGTTCCCATGGAGAGTAGCCCCAGGAAGGCATTCAGCGGGTCCACGCCCTGGGGGAACCAAGAACCGGAATGCCTGGTGCAGGTCCCCTAACTTAGACAAGGGGTGTCCAGAGGGAGAATTGGGGTTATCTCACTATCTCACACAGAGTGGGAGTGGGGAGGGTCTCCCTGGCTTCCTCTGAGCAGAGGGGCTCATACAGACCACGTGGCCCGGGAGATTTGAAAACTCCATGGTGCGTCTGTCCATGGGGAGACCCCATTTGAACCCTCAGACCCTCCGGAGAGAGAGCCCCTCCCCGCGGAGGCCACCTGCCCCAGCCTTGGAGCCTCTCCAGGATGGAACCTGCCTGGGGGAAGCCCTGTAGAGCCCGCAGGGAGGGAGATGGACACTGAGGGAGTCCAGGACAGGGAGGGCGAGAGTGGATGGGCTCATGGGAGCCACAGCGGCTGGAGGGCAGGGAGCTGGCTGGCCCTCTGGGCAAGCAGCGTCAAGCAGAGGGAAACAGAGGAGGACAGGATGGAGAGAAGAGATGCAGCCTTGGATGCCCACCGAGAAACAGATTCCCTGGGGAGGAGAGAAGAGGGAGAGGAGAGAGGCAACAGAGAGGAGGGCGCTGAGGCCGAACCAGAGAGGCACAGGGGACTCTGTCGAGAAGCTGGACTGGCCCGAGGGCCGAAAGAGATGGACCTGGCCAGAAAGGGGCCCCTGAGGAAGCGCCGGGCTGCCCGGACCCCGCCTCCTCTCTGGGCCCAGCCTATCAGGACACTCCAGAGGTGCGGCCAGATGCTGAAGGAGGGAAACCCTGTGCTCCTCCCACCTCCTCAACTAACCGATGCCTTGGGGAGCTCCGGCGCCACGTGGACCCCGCCAAGAAGCTGGAACCCCACCCTCTCCCCCCTACCCTCCCACCACGCCGTGGAGACACACCCGGCGCCTCCTCCAACACCAGACTGGGGGCCAGGGCAGGGGGCCACGCAAAGGAGCAAACCCATTTGCAGCTATGGATGGCAGCTTGCAGCTGAGGAACTCAGGGGCTCCAGGGGCTCCCTGACCCCATGCAGACAGCTGGCATCAGGGGCAGGGGGGACATGATCCGCCCTCGAGGACAAAGGAGTCTGATGGGGACAGCAGCCTGCTCGGCCAGCCGGGCCCCCACTCTCTCTGCGCCACCACCCCAAGACCCCCAACTTGCCTTTCTGAGTCTGAGGCCAATAGCTGTTTCTGCACACACACACACACGCACGCACACACACACACACCCTCTGCCCATCTCACTGGGCTGCCATCCCCCCAAGACAAAGACTGAGCCAGGAATCGCGTGTTCTGATATCCTGATACCGCACCCCTTTCTTGGACCCCACTGCCGCCCACCAACCATCTGCCAGGCTTTTATGCCTCACCCAGGGGAGGGGGACACTTTGCTATCAGTCAGAGAACAGGGAGCTGGTCTGGCTTCACGGGCAGGGTCTTGCCCACTCACCCAGAGTCCACAGTGTGGGTGGGCAGGGGGGTCCTCTGGGACCTTCATGGCAGAGCTGGGGCTCCCAGAGAGGGGAGTGGGAAGAGAGGGATTGTGGAGGGTCATGTCCCAGGATGCCAAGACTACGCCCCAATTTCTCAGTGGCCCCACCTTCGTGCGGGCACCTCCCTGGGTGAGAGGTCTCTGCTCCCCCCCCCCCCCACCTGTTTGGACTCAGGCAGGGAAGATTTCGTCCCCCACCCTGCCTCCCTGCGCCTCACCTCTGCTCAGTGATGCAGGGGTAGAGCTATGCCCCCACCTCCCAGCAGGTCGGGCAGCCCAGAAGGCAGAGACAGGTGTTCCTCGACAGCCAGGTCTGGATGGACAGGTCTGGGACAAGCAACCCCGTCTCCTCCCAGCTCTCCAGGGCTCAGCGGGGACAGGGCTTGTCAGAGAGCCAGATGGGCCAAGGAGAAGTGGAGTCTGGTCCCAGTTGTGGGGGGAGGAAGATTCCAGCTGGCCGGCTGAGACAGGAGGGCACAACCTGGCCCCCGCATCCTACTGTCTTTATTGTTGAAACCACTAACGTGCAAAAACGCTCCTTTGCACCCTTCGCTTGCTGTTCCTTATTCTCCACGTACTTCCTTGGTTTTTCCCCCACTGGAGTCCTAGTTTAGCCGTTTCCACAGCCGTCACCCCTCTGGTGAACGCCTTGGGGATGGGGGAGAGGAAAGGTAGGAGTGTCAGACAAGGGGGGGGCGCCCAGGCACCCCTTCCCGCCTCCTCAGCCGCCAGCACCATCCCCTGACAACACAGTAGCCCACACGGATAGCCCGACCGACCGTTGCAGACAGCAGCTCTCTGATTCCGAGGTGCCTGCGGCCGTTTATGATAGAAGTAGCCGCCACACGTATTAACACTAGTTCTGTAGTTGACATGCATACATACATACGTAGCTAGCCTTTCCTCTTTATTTTTTTTTTGTTGTTGTTTGTTTTCAATCTTTTTTTTTAAGTAAGTGCTCATAATCTTGACTGGTGAAAAGGATGAGAAAAAAAATTAAAGAAATAAGCCCACAAACAAATACCAGTTTGTGAAAAGAAAAGGAACGCGGGAAGAAAACCCAATTCACGAGAACATGGAAGAGCTTTGTTCCCTGTTTAGCATTTTGTACCTAAGGAAATAAAAAAAAACAAAAAAAAAACCCAAAAAAGCCACCCCACCTTAAAAACAAATAAAAATAATAATAAACACAGATCTCACGTTTTATTACAAAAGTGAAGATTGCTGTACACTATTTATTCAACGTATAATTTATGTTACTCTCTGATTTGTCTTTTGTCGTGACAAAGCATTTATTTAATAAAGTGATGCGTTCAGGTCGCCAGCCTCAGCTTCCTCCAAGGGTCCAGGAAAGGATGGAGGGAGAAAGAACAGGCAGGGCCGACCCCCCACCCCCACTGCCAGAGCCGGGTACCACCTCCCCATCCTCCACCCGCAAACTCTAGCCCAAGTCGGTGTGACGTCACTTCTGGTGCGTCTCCCACCTCTACTTGCCCCCGCACTGTGGCAGGCCCTTCTCTCAGACTCAACACCCCCTCTTCATGGGGGAACCCTATGCGCCCTGGCTGCTCCCCAGGAGCCTCTCAGAGTGTTGCCCCTACCCCAAGATCCAGTCCAGTGTCCTGATGGCCCCATCCCCTCACAGGGTCTGCTGCCTGCTCAGGGGTGATCTGTCTCTGGGCACTTGTGCAAGGACCTGAACCCTCTCTCTGCCTGAGATGCCCTGAGCACCATGCTCTCTGCAGGCCCAGAGCCCGGCCAGCCAGCCAACCGCCCAACAGTCCCCCTGCGGGGAATCCCGCAGCCCTGAGAGTAGAATAGAGTGACCTGAGCTCGGAGGACCAGCTGGGGTCTTGGCCAGAAGGAGTGGGAAGGAAGGTGGACAAAGTCCCCTCTCTGTGCATGCCACACCCAGACAGCACTCACCGCCACCACCACTCTCCCCGGTCCTCTCCTGAGAGGTTGCCCCCAGCCCAGCCCTCCTCCCTCTGAGCCTGTTCCCCCAATACCCACACAAACCCCCCACATTACGTCCACTGAGTTGCAGGATTCTGGCTTGGGGACCGTCCCCTTGCCCTGCCCTCCACCCTGGGCAGCTCAGAGGCCATCGGGACAGCCCTCAGGATACCCTCTGGATGCTGCATTGACTCGGGGACTTAAGACCCAGTAGGATGGCTGGGACGCAGCCCCCGCTTCTAGAAACACTGACTGTTTTACTCCTGCCCTATCCACCACCCACATCTGGCAACAACAAGAAGGCACATCAGCTGTACCGTCTCCCTGATGGAATGGTTCTTGATTCTCCAAATAATGCTGGAGGTTATAGAAATAAACCCTAAAAGTTGAAAATGAAATGTGAGGTTGGAAATACGTCTGAAGGGGGCCAGAGAGAGATAGTACAGTGGGAAGGCGCTCGCCTTGCATGTGGTTGACCTGGGTTCAATCCCCAGCACCCCACATGGTCCCAAGCACCACCAGGAGCGTGGTCAGGCCAGGAGTAAACCTTGAATACTGAAAACCAGCCCTCTCCAAAGAAACTCAAAGGTAGACATGTGTCTGGTGTCACATAAACCCTCACTCGGAGATCTCAGATTCTGTCCAAAAACACCCTCCCAAGCCAGAGCGATAGGACTGTCAGGAGGGCGCTTATCTTGCATGTGGATGACCCAGGTTCGATCCCCGGCATCCAATATGGTCCCCCGAGCACCGCCAGGAGTCATTCCTGAGTGCAGAGCTAGGACTAGCCCTTGAGTGTTGCTGGGTATGACTTCAAAAAGCCAAAAAATAAAAACAACTCCAAACCCCAAAGATAACCTCCCTGCCTCACACACCAGTGAGACAGACACACACCATAAGAACAATAACAACCAGTGTTTCCAGGGAGGGAGGGAGAAAAAGAACCCTTATCCTGCTGCTGCTCAAAATATGAACACTTCTCAGCTAAGAGTCGAGCTTCCAAATGATCCAGCAATCCCAAAGGGTCAAAAAAATCCCATTCATAAAACACACCTGCAGTCTGATGTTCTTTGCAGCACTCCACATAATAGCCCAAATTTGAAAGCAACCCACGTGTCCAAGAAGAGAGAATTGGATAAAGAAACAGAGGTATACTCCTCAGCTATAAGGAAAGACAAAATCCTGCAACTTGCCCCTACACAGATAGAACTGGAGGGAATCAGCCAAAAGGAGAGGGACAGACATGGGGTAATCTCTCTCATCAGTGAGATAGGAAGAAGCCTAGCAAGGGAATAAAAAAGGCAGCAGAGTCTGAGAACGGGTCTGCAGAACTGAGCTTATCACTTCCAGGTGAAGTGAGGAGGACTTCAAGGCATAACCCTGAGACAGTGGTGGAGGGAAGCAGTCAGCTTGTCAAGGGTGAGGGGTCAGAACTTTGTATGCATGAGACCTATCACTGACAGTATTGTGCATCACGGTGACGGTCATGGTCTCCCCATTATTCACTGATTTGCTCAAGCGGGCCCGGTAGTGTCTTCATAGTGAGACTTGTTGTTAGTGTTTTATTGGCATATTGAATACGTCACGGGTAGCTTGCCAGGCTTTGCCGTGCAGGCGAAATACTCTTGGTAGCTTGCCAGGCTCTCTGAGAGGGGCAGAGGAATCGAACCCAGCTCGGCCGGGCCGGCTGTGCGCAAGGCAAATGCCCTACCGCTATGCTATCACTCCAGCCCCACAGTGATTGAAATTTTAAAAAATAGGGCCAGAGCCACAGTATAGTGGATAAGGTGCTTACCTTGCATGCCTGGTTCAATCGTCAGGACCCTATATTGGTTCCCTGAGCACCACCAGGAGTGATCCCTGAGTGCCGAGTCAGAAGTAAGCCCTGAGGGGCTGGAGAGATAGCACAGCGAGCGGCTAGGGCGTTTGCCTTGCACCTGGCCAACCCGGGTTCAATTTCCAGCATCCCATATGGTCCTCTGTACACCACCAGGAGTAACTCCTGAGTGCAGAGCCAGGAGTAACCCCTGTGCATAGCCGGATGTGACCCAAAAAGAAAAAAAAAAGAAATAAGCCTTGAGCACGGTTTGTGTAGCCCCAAAACAAAGCAAATAATAATAATAAATTAAATAGAAAATTAAAGACTCTTGTAAGCCCAGACACTCAGCTCTCATGCCGTGCAGGGAGTGTTTTAAGATTCCCTGGGCTGGAGCGATAGCACAGCGGTAGGGCGTTTGCCTTGCACGCAGCCAACATGGCCAACCCGAGTTCGACTCCTCCGCCCCCCTCGGAGAGCCCGGCAAGCTACCGAGAGGATCTCGCCCGCACGGCAGAGCCTGGCAAGCTCCCCGTGACGTATTCGATATGCCAGACACAGTAACAACAAAGTCTCCAATGGAGACGTTACTGGGCCCGCTCGAGCAAATCAATAAATATCATCACTCCTGAAATTCAGAGGCTCTCAGTCTGGGGTCGCGCGGGCCTGAGCCCGGTTGAATACTTGCTCTGCAGCCACGCTCTTGAAATTCTACATTTCTGAACAGGGGAGAAGGCTGTGTGTTCCTCTTGCCCTGCATTCTCCAAATTAGGTCACCGAGATATGGATTCTTCTACCACTTAGAATGACCTCAGAGGTATGTCCCTATGCAGGGTCCCGCATTCCTGTCCCAGCTTTTAAAGCTCAGACTATCCTGGACTGATTCCACAGTTCTGAGGCCTCACAGAGGTTCCTCCCTCCCCATTCACTCCTCTGGTTCCTGGGATGGGCACCAGATAAATAGATAGACACTGCAATTCTCCTGATGGCCACACGGTGACAGGATAACCCCAGTGTTTGTCGTCAATCTAAATTTCCAGGCAGGGTCTCCCCAGCCCAGCACCTCTCGGGGCGAGCCCCCATACCCCTGGACTCCAGCATCCTGGCCTCACAGCATCAGCTTAAAATCTAGCGGATGAGCCCAGCTGAAAGGTGAGCGAGGGTGACAGGAGCACCCGTCTTAGGTGGAAAGCGGCTTCAGCTCCCTGGAGGGACCAGGTAGGGTGCAGTTCTCCCGGACCAGCTCCAGTCGGTCCATGCAGCCGCCCCCCACCAGAGGGCAGTGTGGCCCAGGTCTGAGCCGCATGCACCCTGGACTTGGGAGAACACCCTGCCTCCCTTTCCCCCTCCACCTCCCTCGGCACTCCAGGACACCTTTATCTCGTCTATAAACCGAATTAATAAGGACACCTCTCAACCTTTAACAAGACATTAATAATCTCTTATACAAGGACTTAATGGCTTCAAGGTGAAATGCAACAATCTTCACACACTTTTCTCTAAGGAAACATTTTTGGATCATTTTTAGCAGATTATTCATAACAAGCAAGGCAAAATAAATTATTTAGGTTCTGCTTGGGGGCAGGGTTTGGGATTCTGGGTGGAAACATTCGAAATATGGTGGTGGGAAGGTTGTAATGGTGGTGATATTGGTGTTGGAATATTCACTTAATCACTTAATCACTTAACTTCCCGTTAGTCGTCGATTTGCTCGAGCGGGCGCCAGTAACGTCTCCATTTGTCCCTGTCGCGTGCTAGTGTAGCCCAATGGCATCTCTTCGCTCCGGGAACATGGAGGGCCTCAAACCGATCGTTCATGACCTTGACAAAGAAGTCTGACCATCTGGTAGGTGGGCGGCCACGCGGTCTCTTGACATCCCGTGGAATCCAATCAGTAACAGCTCTAGTCCAACGGTCGTCTTTAAATCTCATTACGTGACCAGCCCATCTGATTTTCGACACCTTGGCAAATGAGACAGCGTCCCTGATCCTTGATCGTCGACGGATGTCAGAACTCCGGATTCGTTCTCTCATTTGAGTGAAACGTGATATTCCAAGCATAGCTCTTTCTATTCTTCTTTGGGAGACCTGAATGGCGTTCTCATCTTGTTTGCGTAGGGCCCAGGTCTCTGAGGCATATGTTAATGCAGGAAGAACAGTGGAATCAAAGAGATGTGCCCGGAGCCGGAGGTTCTTCGTCCTCTTAGCTATTTGGAATATTCAGTGTAATAAATTCTTGTCAACGACTTCATAAAAATAAAATTAAAATATTTTAAAAAGGCAAAAAAAAAAGGGAGGGCGGAGAGATGGTATAGCAAATAGGGCATTTGCCTTGCACACGGATGACCCGGGTACGATCCCAGCCATACCACATGGTTCTCCCAAGCACCTCCAGGAGTAATTCCTGCTTGCAGAACCAAGAACAACCCCTAAGCATTGCTGGGTATGGCCCAAAAAGAAAAAAAGGCAAAAAAAAAGAAGAGGGTGTCCTGGGCTAAGGGCTGAGTTAATGACCCGTGGTGGGCGTGGGCAGGTCAGGATCTCAAGC